GCCTTTGCGACTTTATGATTTTCTTGCGACGTGTTAAACACATAGTTAAACCCCTTGATCGTAGCACTGACATTCCAAGCGCCGCGATCGAATATCCACCGAGAGGAAAGGTGTTCAACAGCGTTCTCATTCTGCGCGCCGCCACGACGGAACGAGTGGGAGGTAAGCTGCTTGTCTACACCAGCCAACTTGATGATGCGATCGAATAAACGGTTTACGTGGAGGTGATTCGTAGAGCTTGGCGCAGCCTTGGGGTCGATGGCGCTTGATTACACAGTGGCGCCAGGTTTGTCCAGAAGATCGATGAGCGGTGCGTCTAGACAGAGGGTCACAGGTGACAGTGCATACCCCATGGACGTCTGCACCAAGACAGAGGTAACGTTTAGTTGAAGGTTTGTCCCAGACACGAGTTCATCGCACTGCTGTAAACATGCCGAGGTTGGTGTCGCCGACGACGTGCACGGCAAGTGGCATCGCGAGGAGAAAGATCGTGGCTTGCGTGATTCCTGTTGCGATGGTGATGTTCAGTTGGTCCACTTGTGAAAACGTTATGACGACGAGTAGCATCTGGGGCACAGTGTGTAGCAATTTGGCAGGTGGGGTGACGCCTTGCCACCACCTTGTCCACACCCAGCTCCTAGTTGCCTGGCTCATGACGCACCCAAGCTAATGCTTGCTTGGGGATGTGGCTCAAGGGCATGTATGGTATAGAATCGCTAGCCTAGTGAAGTCCCCAAGGTCTCAACCGCACCCGCATCCATTAGTACATACTGTGCATCCATTAGTACATACTGTATTAGCGCAGAAGTAGTGAAGTAGACGAAGAAGATTCATAGGGATGAGGACAAAGGAGATCTCAGTAGATCCTCAGTTAATTCATTGTGCATTTTGCCCTCAACTACCTACGCTTCCTCCCGCAATGCTACAAGTGGTAGCACTTCCTAGTTCTCTTGCCCCAAGCCCCATCAACCCGCCGTACGTAGCCAGTCTTCTTAGACGGTTGTGTGGTCGTTGGCAGAGTCAACACATCGCCAAAGGTTTGAAAACGTGGTCCTTGCTACCCGTTGCCTGGTGATAGTCTCAGCAACAAAATCCATACACGATCTGAGTGATCTGCTAGTGTATGCGACCCGCAAACCCCAATTCGCGGCCACGAACGACATCGGCGAATTATTCTATTATCCGGATTTCCCGGTTAAGATACGCGAAGTCCTTTGTGTGCTGACCCGTCACCAACGCGTGGTTATCAACACGTTGTGTGCCCAGATCCCCGAAGCGAAGAACTCCAAGCGCGCAAGGCTATCGAGGAGATCATTTTGATCCATCGGAACGACAAAATCGAGCTACTGATTGAAGGATCCCTCGACCGAAAGATCCAAGTGTACCACAAGGCCAGCAAGATCAAGGCTGAAACAAGATTAGATCGAAGTTCAAAGTAGAGTAATCCAATTTCACTGGAGTTACTAACAAAACAACGAGGAAGGATGAAGTTTTGCGCATAATGGCAGAATACTTTCAGCGACATGAACAGCTGTTGGAAATGCTTACCCGCACCAAAGCCGCCCAAGTGGAAGCGAGCGAAATGACAACCAGAGCTTATAGTTGAAGGATTAGAAATGCCCAAGTATTATGGACAAATGGACGAAAGTATTAGTCTATACATCCACCAAGTTACGACATTTCTCAAGGCAACGAACGTGAACTACTAAGAAAGCGATGGGACTTAACAGCGATGCATTGCCATGATGCTGGCAAATTTCCGTGGTCTTGCCGCAGCCTGGTACGAAGAACGACTTTCGCGCGGTGAGTCTCCAAGCACCCTCATTGAACTGGAAAAGAGCTGCGAGCCGTGTTTGAACCCAACGATTTTACAAGATCGGCTTCATGATCAGCTATACGAATTGAAGCAAGCCCAGTGTGCGAGTTTGGGCGCATATGTTGCCAAGTTCCGACGAATCTGTACGCAAGTGTGCGACATGACCGAACGCGACAAGGTGTCCTGGTTTCAATGCGGTCTGCGAACCAGAACCCGTGAGGAGTTGCAGTATCGTCGTTGTGAGACTGTGACTGCCGCGATCCAAGTTGCCCTGGATTATGAGCGCTCCCACAACTCGACCCTTAACGGTGGTCACGCCAGAGACCGCGACCGCTGTCATCGCCACGATCGCCGCCCGCATGAAGGATTTCAAGATCGCCGCCATCAGTTCAACAACCGAAACCAAGGAAGCCCAACCCCTCGAGAGGTAGTCATTCGGATGGCTCACGAGAATTTGACGAAGGCCCAGCAACATCAGATGGAGTATTACGACAAGCGCCGCTCGAGCGTGATCTTCATGGACGGCGATCAAGTGCTGCTAGCGACTCGCAACCTGCCTCTACAGCATGCCCAGATGCTCGACAAGTCCGAGCGTCCGAAGCTGACTCCACGATTCATCGGTCCCTTTGAGATTTCCCAAGCCATCAATGAGAGCGCCATGTCCCTCATGTTGCCTCGCTCGATGTCACGTGTGCATGACGTGTTCAACGTTGATCGACCTAAGCACTACCAGTCCAACGAAGTCAAGTTTTCCTCCCGGCCAATCTCGAAAGCTACTCCTGTTGTTCTCGACGAATCCATCGGTGAAGAAATGTACATTGTCGAGAAACTGCTTAAGTAGCTCCAGTTTAATCGCAAGTTGGAGTATATGGTCAAGTGGCATGGACAGCCCGAAAGCGAAGCCACGTGGGAACTGATGAAGGACATCAAGCGTGTTGTGCACTTCAAGCAACTTGTCCAAGACTTTGATTGGAGATGTTTCAAGGTGTAGCAAGACATCAGGAGGAGAATGTAGCGATGTGGCAGGTGAGTGTGACGACTTGCCACCACCTTGCCCGCACCCAGATCCTAGGTGCCTGGTCCATGACGCACCCTAGCTATTTCTTGCCTGGGATGTGGCTCAAGGTCATGTATAGCTTAGAATCGCTAGCCTAGTAAAGTCCCCCAAGGTCTGAACCGCACCCGCATCCATTGTATACAAAAGTGCATATTAGCGTAGAAAGACGAAGAAGATTTCATAGGGATGAGGCCTAAGGAGGTCTCAGGAGATCCTCAGTTAATTCATTGTGCATTTTGCCCTCAACTACCTAGCTTCCTCCCGTGCTACACAGTGCCTCCAGCAATCGTACTCATGAGTCCCAAAATATCAAAGTTCACGGCACACTGGAAGTGGCGACGGCATGGCTTGAATGCCTTGGAATGGTGCTGTCAATGCGGTATGAATACATCGTCGGGTGTTGGTTTGAGTAGTCGACGGCCCGAGATATATGTGCTGTGGGCTAGACAGACAGTAGCCAAAGTCATGACGCCTGTGGCCAAGATGAGAATGCTCCTAAAGGTCGCGAGCGATTGGGCTAGGCTAAACGCGGTGATGTCGGCCGACACCGTCAGCTGTCCCCCATGACCAAATGATCAAGTTCGCAGGCATCATGGCCATGTTGAGGGAGAAGTCTTTCGACACGTAGGACGGACGAGTCACCGACTGTTGTAGCATTAACCTTAAACATGAACAAGACCCCAACACAATCGACACAAGCGCGCCGCCGACGAGGTGCACGCAGACGACGGCAGAAGGTTCTCTAGCAGCGGGTCATCCACTGTGCCAACCACACCATCATGATGGCAAGGCACGGGGTTGTAAGAAGGATCATGAATGGAATCGAGCAGCCCTTCGATGTGAGGGACTCTGTGGGTGACTGCACGACTAAGAACGTAGACAAGTCATCCACATGGCGTTGGAGTGAGATGCGGTCGTCGTTTTGTTCTCTCCTTGGAATATTGATGCCATGACGTAGGATCGGCTGTGGTTGATCATTCAAGGACGCAGCATGATCGTTGGAGTGAGTGGTACTGAAATGCTATTGTCCGAAAATGTGGGGTATTTTGCCTTATATCGGGTTGATATTATCGTATTCCCTTCAATCGGACACAATCGCCCACACGCATTCTCAACATACAGTCCGCGACATTCATTTACAGTTAAACATTTCGTATTTTACGGATAACTTCGCCAAAAACACTCGGATTAAGCTCAAATTAGCACCAAAACATCGGCCTTGATTGGCACGATCTAACTGAGTAATTGCGGGAAAACTGATTTTGGGATGCGACAGTCACTTATGAACACAACATTGAACTCGTCAAAAATTTACCAAGATTCAATTGTTAGATAACATAAAGAACGCTAGTACTTCGTAACCACTTGCAAATATCGCTTTGGCATGGACTTAATCAACTTTTTCAAGTATCGGCGGTCAATAGAGTCCTAGGCAGCAGAAATCGCGCTCTGAAGCTCGGAAACGCTTTGGTACTGCTTTCCATTGGGGTAGACCTTGCGCGCCAGCCACCCCCAAACGTTTTTGATGGGATTGAGGACGGGTGCAAGGGCTGGGTGGTTGAAAAGTGTCACCGACTGCTCCGCTAGAAAAGCCTTGGTCCTTGCAGCCGTGTAAATGCTTGCGCCATCTTGCATGAAGGTGAACGAAGGGCCATAGTGCTGGTGCCCAAACGGACAGAGATAGTTGCCAAGTGTGTCTTGGTAGGCATTGGCGTTCTGGCGGCCTTCCAAGAATGGCAACTGGGTGCAACCGCGGCCGCAAAATCCACCCCACACCATGACACTGGCACCAACAGAGTTCCGCGTAAAGTACGTGTCCTTCTCGCGCCGTAGGTCGTGCCAATAATATCGGAACCTATCTGGTCCATCCATGTTGAATTTCTTCTCATCGGACCAAATGATCCGGCTCCACTTGGGGGGATTCAGGACATTCCGGGTCGCGTACTCCATTCTGGCAACCTTGTGGCGGGAAGTAGGCACGGGGAATGCTTTCGCTTCACATACTTGAGGTGCTGGCACTTCTGGAGGATGCGTTGATAGGTGCAAAGACTCAGGTCAACCGGAATCGCCGCCTTCAGCATGCGGGACGAGCATCCTGTCTTGGATGCCTGGTTCAAAAGTCGACGACGAAGTCTATCATTCAAAACCTTAGACACACTACCCTTGCTACGAGTTCCATAGGCCTCTGGGTCATGTATGTAGCTATAGATGACCCCGCGCGACCGTCCAAGCCTCTCGACAATCGCCTTGACGGTGAAGCCTTCGCCGCGGAGTGCATCGATGAATGCCCTCCCGGGCAGACAAGGATGGTCCCTTGGACATGTTGTCGGCTATTTCGTCCTGATAGAGGCGCCATTAGATCGGGCCAATCAAGGCCGATATTTTGGTGCTAATTTGAGCTTAATCCGATCGTTTTTGGCGAAGTTATCCGTAAAAAACGAAATGTTTTAAATGAATGGCGTGGACTGTATATACCGGTATTTATACTCGGAGTATATATTATACAATATATATACACTACATAAATATCGAGGACACGGTCGATGTAGTTATCCTCGTCCTTGTGCCGCCAAGATATCGTTGCGCAGGTGGACCAGGTCATGGTACCAGTCCGAGATGTCTGCATCATAATTGCTCGGTGATCCAATGCGATGGTACAACACGAACACAGCGCCTAGAAACAGCATCGCATCTACCCGGTCCAGGAGCCCGCCGTGGCCCGGGATGAGCGTCCCTGTGTCCTGGACCCCCGCAAGGCGCTTCAACAGACTCGCAAAAAGGTCACCGTACCGCGAGATGGCGCCGCCGACGACGGCAAACACGATGCGCCACACATGTTCGCGGCGGTGCTTCGCGAGGAGTTCGTCGTTGACTGAGATGGCCTTCATGTTGATCCAGAGCGCGTCCACAATGAGCGTGGCG